AGCCCAGGGTACTGGTTTCCAGGGTACCGGTAGTGGGGGCGGGGCTCGCTGCTGGCCTGGCAGCCGGCTGTGAGGGCGCAGCTCCAAGCACTAGGGGGTGGGGTCTCCACGAAGGAGAGTGACAGGAGCAGGCTGGCATTGTGTGGCAGGGCACAGCTCAGAGTGGGGACGGTGGAGGCAGTGAGAGCGCGTTTTGGGGTGCAGCCGTCTCAGACCCAGCCTGAACTCCCTGGCAGGGCCAGTTATGTGACTTGTGGGGCCAAGTGCAAAGTGACAGTGCAGGGCCCCTGTTAGAAACTAGGAAGGGTTTCAAGTGCAGGGCCCTTCCAAGCACGGAGGCCTCTGTGACTGCACAGGTTACACGCTCATGAAGTCATTCCTGCTCCCTGGACTCAAGGGGTGGCCGTCTGTCCAACAGTCCTTCCATCCATCTACCCATCTGTTCGTCAGTCCCTCTGTGCCTGCCAGGGGCTCTCAGGGGCTGAGGGCAGAGCTGGGTGGAACCTCCAGGGTCATGTGCTGCTTCCTTGCCCCCCACTTTACATAAAAAGAAATTATGGCCAAAATGAAGAACTGGCATGACCAAAGGCTCGATGGTTCACAAAACTACCCGGGCGGCGGGGGGGGGGTCCCACCACTTGTTGGGATGGTATAGCTTCTTCTCTTCAACCTACAGTGTGCCCTGTGGCCTCACCCCAGGGAGAGCCGCAGCCTTAGCCCTGCCCGGACAGCAGAGGAAAGGCCAGACCTGCAGGCCAGGTCCTGGACTCAGTGCCATTGCTGCTGTTCTGTGTAACCGAGGTCCATCCGCCCCCTCTCTGGGCCTTGGTCTCCCATCCATCCAATAAAGAAGTTGGACCAAAAGTCCTCTTCATCTCTGACCTTCAGGAACTGTCTGACCCCCTAGCCCTGCTGCGCCCACCTCCCAAGGGACAACCCTTTCCATCACAGGGCGGAGAAGCTGGTACCTCTTGCAGATGAAAGGTTTCAGGCACCTGAGACATCAAATAGCTCTGATCTGAAGTGAGGGGAAGAGAAGGTATTAATGCAGCTAAAGCAATACAGTTTGATTTTTCAACCACCTGCACCACACAGGGGGTGGGGTGCCCAGAGAGGGCCCGGGAAGAGGGGTGGTCCTAGAGACTGAGGGTCCGGGAAGCCCTTTTGCCTGGGGGGCTGGGGTCTGAAGTCTTAGGAGGGATTCCAAGGAGACTTTCTACACTGGAATCAACAAGTGTGCGAGTTCTACACCCCCTCCACCAGAGGTGGGCCTCTGGTCCCTCCCCTCGCCTCTGGGCCCCATCGTTTGTCCATCTACCATGGGCCAAAGCCTTGCTTCCTCTTCAGATCAGAGCATTGGAGGTTCAAAAAAAATCCACATTGAAAGGGCTGCAAAGAGTCACAGCGTCCACAAGCACACCATCGCAGGCAGGCCTCCTGACCCTCCTTGGTCAGTGTCCCGGGGACACGGGCACACAGGGTCTGTGGGAGCGCATCCTGGGGCTCCCTGAGAAACTGAGTGCATGAACAGGCAGTTCCTAATCGTCAGAAAGGTCTTCCTAGTCATTGCAGGTAATAGTTTTCCATTAGCGGTCATCGATCCTGACCACTTTCTGTAACATGTAGAAAAAGGGTAAGAAAAAAAAACTTGCACCATGAAGTTAAATATGCATGACCCCTGAGTACACAACAGGGCTTGTGCGGCCGCCAATCGGGGCTGGCAGGGCCCGGAATCCTGGAATTGTTTTAAGGCTGGAAGGAGCTCAGAGATCATCTCGCTCAGCCTCCTTGCTTCACTGATGGGAAAACTGAGCCCCGGAGAGCAACTGACTCACCCGCGGACACATAGGATGGGTTCCAAGCCCCGATGACCCCCTCTGGAATTCTGAGGGGCCCCCCCCACAGTTGAGGCACATTCTCAGAGTTTATGCTGGATTCCCAGGGGTGGCCTCCCCCGGCCTCCCACCGGGGCGTTGGAGTCAGAAACACCCAGGCGCATGTCCCCACTCCACAACTTCCTGGCTGTGGGACGTTGGGCAACTGACTTAACCTTTCTGGGCATTTCCTCATTTGCGAAACAGAAAGAGTTTATATCCACTTCTGGAGGCTGATGCGATGATTAAATTAGTTCGGCAAATATTTAAGCACTTACTGAATGCCAGGCCTGTTCTAAGCACTGAGGAATACGGCAGTGAACTTGGCGGTAATGGGTGTAAAGCACAATGAAGGGCTCAGAGAGAGCTGGTCCCTGTTATATCATCCTGTACATGCGGCCTTCCCGCTGAGGTGCTACGGGCTCCGGCCCTGGGGAGGCTCCTGGGGTCAGGGTGGGAGGCTGCGGAAACCAGGGGAGGAAGATCTCTCCCCATTCCAGCAATCCCCTGACGGCAGGGTGCCGAACCACGTGCAAGACAATGGGGCAGGTGGTGGGGGGGGGTGTCAGGGATGGCTGGGGACCCTCTCACTCCTTCCTCCCTCCTCAGCACACTCAGCAGCCTGTCCTGAGAGAAACGCCCCGAGTCCCCTCCTTCAGCCCAAAGGCAGCTGGTCGCAGAGCCAGGCTGCTCCCGGAGGGTGGAGAAGTGAGCCTTCAGGACACCCGTGGTGGCCAGGTCCCTTCCTCGGGCACAGCCCTCTGCAGATTACACACCAAACTCACAGCCAAGCTGTTCAATGCAGGAGGCAGGAGAGCAGTGGCCTTCTCTTAGCCGATGACATTGGATGTAGCCCGGGAAGTGCAGGGATCATGCTAAGTGTTTTACCTACATTACAAGGTCACGGAGCCTACATGCTGCCCTGCTGCTCACAGGGTTGGAGACTGACGTCAGAGAGGCAGAGCACCGGCCCAGAGTCACACAGTTAGCCAGAGGCCGAATCGAGGTTAATGTATGGTCAACTGAAGCCCAAACCTGGCATTGCTTAACTGGGGTGCCCACCACCTCCCAGGTATGCACGGATGCAGCCCAGGAAGAACACATGTGGGCCTGAGGTTGACCACACAATGGATCCGAGTTGAGCCAGGGCAAGCGCGAGGTCTCCTGACTCCGAATCCATGGTGCTTTCCACTGTCCCACATCTGTGGGCAATTACAAGTCTCAGCTCTTCTTCCCACAGAGCAGGGAGGGCCGCCTGAGCACTGAGGAAGGGAGGGTGTTGACCAGATGTCCCTCGTTCTGGACCAAGCCAGGACTGGGCGAACCTGGGAGCAGGTCAGGCCTGATGCTGAGCTTTCTGCTGCTGCTGGAGGCGCTGGAGCCCAGGAGAGGCTCCGTGGGAGGGTGGAGACTGGAGGGATTGAGGCAGACTGCGGCCTAAATACCAGCTCTGCGGTGTGACCCTGGGAAAGTCACTTAGCTCCTTGGTTCCCTTGTCTGCAAAGCAGGGGGAACCATACCAATTCCAAAGACCCGGCACAGGGTCAGCACTCGATGACAGTGACCAGCATGGTCCTCCTGTCCCTGAGTGTTGTGGAGCCAGGGCCCTCCAGCTCAGGGGCAGGGGAGGACCATGTGATTTCAGAAGATCTCGCTAGAGGCCTCTGTGACCTTTGGGATCAGAGATGCAGGCAGGGACATGCCTCCCAGTTTGACATAGAAAAACACAGTCTAGAAGGACACCTGAGGCCTGGGCTCTGGTCTCACACTTGAGGACAGAAGGTCTTCAGCCGGTCCCTCCTCCCGCTCACCAGCACATTTCTGGTGCGGGGCATAGGGACCAAACACAAGATGGGGGAGCCCAGGGCCTGAAGGATCTCTGATGTGCAACCAGAATGCCAACAGGAAGAAAGAGCCAGGCAACAAGGCACCAGTGAGAAGGGCATGGCATGCACTGGGAAGCATGGAAGAACCTGGGGGGCTGCCTGGAGGAGGTGGACTGGGAAGGGATACTTGAAGGGAAAATGCAGGGCATGTCCACAGGCAAGAGTGCAAATTCCGTCTGGGTTCCTGGTCTGACCGGAAGGAAGAGGAACACAAGGACCACGTTCGGACGGAGGAGGCAGGGAGCCGTGGGGCACAGCGTTGTGGCTGCTGAGAGCCTCAGTTTCCCCACACATAAGGCAGGAGTAAAATCAGCCCTGCCTCTGGAGCTGCTGGTTCGCGTCACATGAAATCACACTTACAAAGCACTCCGCACATTCCCGGCCTCCCGCAAGTGTCACTCAGCGGCAGCGGGGTTGAGTTGGGGCTTCCTACAGGCGCCTTTCTACCGGGGACGGCCACAGCAGGAACCGTGATCCGCTTCATGTTTTAGGATAGAGTGGAGAAGGGGCGGGAGGAGGGACACGGCCAGCAGGCCCGAGCAGCTGCCTGGGACCAGGGGAAAGGGCCCAGCAGTCGAGACCCCTTCTTCAAAGCGGGGCCCCCAGACCTGTGGCTGGATCCCAGGTCCCCAGCCCCAGCTGCGTGAACACGGCCTGCCAGGCCCCAGCCCCCTCGCCTTCGAACTTTCCCAGCCACTGGGGGTTTGGAAGGACATCTTAGGAATCTGGAAAATTTGCAAATCCATTTAAAACCCCAGAGGTTGCCTGGCTGCCGACTGGCCTAAAGCCAGGCAGATTCTTAGGGACAAGTCTTGGCCCCAGGGACGGGGCTATGGCTCTGAGGTCGCCTGTCCCCAGCTAGGTCCCCTTTCCGTGTGCCCTGCTTGCCGCCTCCCAATTTCCTTCTCGCTCCCTTCCCTGCTCTCCCCACCCCCAACAGGCGCTGGGGTGCTTTGGAGGCCCCCACTGGGTCTGGCACCAAGAAACTTCTGGGGTTTTTGCTTGATAGGGGCAGGGGGCACCAGGGTTGTGGAGGCCTGGGCCACCCGCCCCAGAAGCAGCGGAAGCAGTAGAGAGGAGAAAACGGGTTCCTCCAGCCCGATGCTGCCCAAAGCCTCCAGGCTCCTCCCATCTGGTTTTGTTAAAAATATTTTTCATTTTTAAACCTACTTGAGAAAGTACAGGCTGGGGTAGGGGGACAGGGCAGGGAGCTGGAGTTCCCCCCTGTAGGAGCACTTACCTTGCTGCTGATGCCTTCTAATGTGGGCAAGGTCCTGGGTTCTGAGCTGTCACCCCCTCCAGGAAGTCCTCCTCACTGCCCTGTCCCGTTATCAGAAAGTCTTTGCTGGCCAGAAGTGGGGCAGCAGCTGGGTAAGAGGGCAAAAAGGACACTCGTAGGCTCCCGGAGCCTCAGCAGAAGGGAGGAAGTTGGGGGCTGCAGGGGTGAGGGGTGGCCTCACACCCAAAGCATCCTTTGGGAGGAGCAGGGTAGCCAGGAGGGGCCGCCCAGGCTCTGGCTGTCTGTGTAGCTCCGCACAGGCTGCAGCCCGGGGGCAGCACTGGCCAGAGCAGCTGCCGCCCTCTCCTTGTTGTCCTCCAACTCTCGAGTTCCAAGTTGCTCAGAGAGCGATCCCGGGTCCCGGTCCCAGACGGGGCGGGCAGGGACTGCGGGCTGCTGGCAGGGCGCTCACACCACTGTGGGCTTCCCTGCACCCACCCCCACTTTGGGGGAAAGGCTGCAAGGCGGTCTCTGATTGGTCCAACCGGAGAAAGGGCTGGGGGGGTGGGCGGTGGAGCCAGGAGGGTGGACGCGTGCGTCTGTTTTCAATTTTAGTTTTTTCCCTCCTCTCTTTCTTTTCCCCCAAGTTTCTTGTTTTTCTTCCTCCTTTCCCTCTGCTTGCTCCCTCCCGTCGCCTGCTCTCTCAGGATGTGAGGGGATGTTTAGAAATTCCACAGCCCACGCCAGACGCTGAGTCACTTTATTGAAGAGTGCCCCAGCCCCACTCGCCTGTTGCCTGTCTCGAGTGGCAGCCCCCCCTTGCCATGGCACCTGGGGACTGGTCTCTTCTCTGTGCCTCAGCTTCCCCATCTATAAAGAGACCTCTGATCATTTACACAGTTGATTCAGTCACTATTCCTTCATTGAACAGGAATGTTGAGCACCTACTATGTGTCAGACACTGTGCTGGGGCTTGGGGATGCAGTAGTCTGTGGGACACAGTCCTTGACCTCAGGGGCACCTAGGCTGGGGGGAGACAGAGCACAGGCAGGCACTCGGAGGGAGGGCAGAGGACTGCTGATGCAGTCAGAGGGGCATCCAACTAAGGTGGGCAGGGGAGAAGGGAGGGTTTCCGGAAAGAGGCGCCTTGGAAGAGATGGAAGGACCTTCCGAGATTATCAGTCACTTCTCAGAAGAAGAAACCGAGGCCCAGGGCTGAACTGGTGCGGAGCGGGTGAGAGACTGGTCCGAGGTCAGATTTCCAGATGCGTTCCTTTCTCTGACCTCGAAGCCCCTGGAGTCCCAGGAAAGGATTATTTCCCCATTTCACAGACCAGGACACTGAGGCCCAGAGTTGTGTAATGAGCTTCCCACGCTCATGCCACAATGGTAGAACTGGAGCAAAGTCAGGTCTCGGGAGCAACTCGAAGGAACAGACCCCAGTGATCTGCCCCCAGCAGGAGGCCCACATTGCAGTGCAGACCGGCTTGCCTGTCCCGCCGTCTGCCTCAGTTCTCCCTTTCCCTGTCTCTCATCCCGCCCTCACACCCACAGGTGTGCCATCCTCCCGCCCTCCCTCCCCACCAGGGTTTCCTCTGCGACCCCCTGGCTGGGCCCTCACCCCTCCCTTCTCCCCACCTCCTCTCCTCAGATGAGAAGATGTCTGTTGTCACAGATACCTGGCCCTTAGATGCCAAAGGGCGTCATTTTAAAAGAGTTCAGTCACCCCCTGCCCCCACTATGGTACACAGGAGAAACTGAGTCCCAGGGACAGGAAGAAAAGTGTCCCCAGTCACACAGGCAGAGCCCGACTCTGCTCCTCTGTGTGCGCCCCGGCCCCCCTGGGGTTCACTGGAGCCTTGTCCATGGGGCCGGGCTGCTTGTGCTGGGATTTTGTGCCAACCATGGTAACCTATCTTGTGGTCACTTCTTGGTCTTGTCCCAGTGGGGGACTGCCCAGCAGAGGGAGAGGGGTTCTCAGACTGAGCCTGGGCCACAGGGTGGGGGCCATGAGAGCCCCCCAAGAAAGGGGCCCTGGTCCAGCCTCATGGCCGAGGGGACACCGAGGCATCTGAATACCATAGGGCAAGCTTCACAGAGAGTTCTTATGCCCAAAACTCCTTGTCTTTGCAACCCCCTCCTGGCGTTGCCTCGGACATTCACCTCCAAAGTCACCTCCGACTGCTGGGACCAGGAGGGCTCAGGGGCAGCACGGAGCCATTTCAATCCCTAGGCCCCCCTAAAACTAGTCTGGGAGTCAGGAGACCCAGCTATAAGCTTGTTGTGTGGCCTTGGATAAGGTACCTTGTCCTCCTCAAGCCTCAGTTTCCCCAACTATACTTTTCAGGAGGATTCCCGGTGCTGGGAGGACCTTGGGCTGCTCTGTCTGCAAGCTCATTAGGCTTGGACTCTGGCTAGGGAAAGGAGGCCAGTGGGCCCCGGGGCAAGGGGACAGCTGGGGGCCAGAGATGCAGCACAGAGGGGAGGGGATGGCTGGTGGTGGCTCCCCCGGGAAGCTGGCCAGCTTCCGGCCAGCCCAGCCGTCCGGCTGGCCCATCTGGAATCGCTTAGCCCCTACCACCATTAACCCTTGGCAGGCACCAGGGCGGTTACACCTCCTCCCAGCTGGGATGGGGCTGGGGGATGCAGAGCCACATGGGACACTCTCCAAGGGCTGGGCCGTTGAGGCAGAAGGGTCATGATTGACAGAGCAGGCTCCCCTTCTGTACTGCCAAGCTGCATGATCTTAGGCAAGTTATTTAAGCCCCTGAGCCTCAGTTTCCTCCTCTGGAAAATGGAGCTGACTCAAGGATTGATTCAAAAGACTGCTGCAATATGTAATGCAGTTAAAGGGCTTAATATAGTGTCTGGGAGTAGGATTGAAATAGTGGGTTTCCCTCATTCTGGCTGCAGTCCATCACTATGTGCCCTTGGGCCTCAGTTTCCCCTGTGCACTCTGCAGGAATGGGCAGTGGGCAGTCACATGGGAAGAATGGCACCAACATTCTGGGGTAGTCAGCACGGCCCCCAGCCCCACCTCGGACAGAGCCATAAGCAGAAGCGGGAGACCAGTCCAGCCTCAAAGGGTCCTGTCTTGGGGCGAGGCGGGGCTGACAGCGGGCAAGCTGGAGTTTGGGGAGCCCTGCCTGAGGAGGAAGGGGATGCGGTGCAGAGGGAGAGAGGAGGCCTGAGCCTTGGGGTGCAGCACTTCCCCTCCCCACTGCATGGTGGCTCGCTCCGGGTGAGCTGTGACGTCTGGAGTTCCAACCCAGCTCTGCCTCTTCCTCACTGTGGGACCCTGGACCCATGTCTCAGCCTCAGTGTTTGCAGCAGTAAAATAGGGACATGTGTGCCTACCTCATAGAGCTGTTGAGAGGCCTGAGTAAGTGATGCAAAGACGGCATTTTATGCAAGGAATAGAGAAGAGCCAGAAAGAGCCACAAAAGGTGACAGATTGTCAAGTGTCTCTGGGAGCTGCTGTCACAGTGGTCAGGAACAGGAGGGGAGCTGGGCCTCCCTTTACAGTTGGGATGGTTGAGGCCCAGGGACAGGAAGTGACTGTGCAAGACCAGGACTGGAATCGAGATTTCTGTCTACACTCAGGCCCCGTGTTCTTCCCTGAAAAAGGAATGAGGCTGAACTGAACCCCCACCCCAGACCCCCACCCACGCTTGTCAGAGCCGGAAGCCACAGTTCTCAGTGGGGGTGGGGGGGACAAGGGGGCCGGAAAGGGCCCCTGAGTGGGAGAACTCCCAGGAGGCCGGCTCAGCTCACTCAGGCAGGGCCAGCGGCCGCCACATCTGGCTCTCCCACGCTCCCAGCACTGCCCCCCACCCCCCAGGCTCCTCCAGGGCGAGGAAGCAGCACACACACATCCCGGCACCAGCGCAGTCATCTTGGATATCAGGGCCCATGTTCTCCTACGAGTGAGGCCATTGTGTGGGCATGGGAAATGGGTCCGAGAGAACAGAGGGGACTTGCCTGAGCTTAGCAGAGAGAGAAAGGGCCTGGCATGCGTGAACCCTGGCCCCCAGCCCAGTGTCCTTCCACCCTGAACACCTGAGCGGGTAGGTGCTTGTAGCTGGGGAGCCGGAAGAGGCACACAGTGGGAACTGCCCCTTTCCCTCCTGGACACTAAGTTAGCGGCTGTCTAGTTGGGCACAGGGACCAGTGGAAACTTCAGGTCACATTCCTACCCTCAATACCAGGAATGCTCTTACTGGGCCAGACTGTAGTCACCAAGGCCTGACAGGGTCAGGAGATAAGGGATTCAAGACTCTGCCTGCCTCCTCAGCCCCAGGGACCCAAGGAACAAAGGAATGTCCTTCTGTGTGTCCTACACAAGGGTCACCAGAACAGCAGGGCCCTCAGAGGCCACAAGTCTCCCCCCACCAGACACACTGGGCCCCAGAGGTCAGAGCCTGCTGGAACCCACTCCAGCAAGTCGAGAATGGGGCTTCTGACTCCCAGACCATCCTGTGCCTCGTGCCATTTCCCCATGCAACCAACGTTAATCGAGTACCTACTGTGTGCCCTACCCTCTTAGAACTCACAAGCTAACGCTAAGGAAACCACAAACTAATAATATCAGATTGTGTTGTGTGACGAAAGAGGGATAATATTGAGATTGCTGGGGGTTCTTGTTTAGGTAGATCAAGGCTTCCCTGGGGAAGAAATATTTCAACCGAGACCTGAGGTTAAGAGGACACACATAATGCAGGGTCAGGAACAGTGTTCTAGATAGAGGGAACAGCATGTGCAAAAGCGCAGAGGCCAGAAAGAGCTTGGACTGCCTGAACAGAAAGAAAAGAATGGGAGAGGACGTGGTGGGTATAGGATAAAGAGGTAGTGAGGGGCCAGGTGTCAGGGCCTGGTGGAACCCAGGGGAGTCTGACTTTTATCCTGAGGGTCAGGAGGGGCCACTGCAGGATTTTAAACGGGGGTCTAATGAGAGCAGGTGACGGGGGACACTGTGAAAAATGGGCTAATGGGGACAAGAGGCTGGGGGAGGGGCTAGTATGAATGCTGCTGTAGTGGAACATGGGGCCCCACCCACAAGAGAGGCTGCAGGAACGAACCTGACAGGGAGGGGGGACTTCTGGGCCCCAGCCCTGTGCTCAACCACGGACTCCTCTCCTGACCTTCCCATCCTTCCCTGGCTTCTCCTTTGCCTCTGAACAACGAGTCAGTCACAGTGCCTCTTCGGATAAAGACATTCTATCCCCTCTGTTCCCTAAGAGACAATATACTGGGGGACTGCCTCCCACCTCCGGGGCACTGGTTCTCCTCCGGGAAAAGAGAGGGGAAGGAGAATCACCAAGGCCAGGTCCTGATTGACATCAGGCAGCCAGCGAGCCCTCTGGTAGTACCCTGCGGTACCAGCAGGTGGCGCCTCCAGCCTCTGGAGGGGCCGGAAGAGAAAAGAAAAAAACGCTACCAAGGAGGAGAGGGAGGGGTCTGGAAGGCAAAGATGCCTGACGAAAACCCCAGCACCCACTGGAGAGCCTCACATCTGCCCCCTGAAAGTGAACAAGGCAGGAATTGCCATCCCTGCTTCCACCTCAGGAAGAGTGGGAGAGTTCCCTGCCCAGGTCAGAGTGGGGTTGAAGCTTGGCTGGGACTGGCCCCCAGTCAAAGCCCTTGGGCCGCTATCTGAGTGGGCCTGACGCTGGCGCCCACCAGCCACTCTTAAGTAAACCACTTCCAGCGGAAAGCTGAGCCCAGCACCTTTTCTCTACCAGGGCTGTAAACCTGATTTACAAACCAAGTTATCACCAGGATCTTTATGAGGCCAGCCCCCCTGCACCCCACCCCAGGAGGCCCCGGTGGGGGTGTGGGAGCAGCCCAGAGGGGGGACTCCAGAGGGAAGAAGAGGGGCCCGTGGGGAGCCAGCGGGAAGGAGCAGTCCAATAAACAGCCGCTCCCAGAGATAAGGGGCTGTCAGAGAGGAAGAGGCTGTGACGGGGGCTGGCAGGCAGCGCGTGGAGGATGGATGGGGGTGGTGCTTCTCCACCCACACATGGTCACAGCGCCCCAGCTGGACCAATGTCTGAGCCGCCCAGTCCCCCAGTGGTCTCATGGGGACACTGAGGTCCAGGGAGGTACGGGCTAGTCAGAGGCCAAGGTAGGGGAGGACCTGCGAATTCAACCACCCAGCCTGGGACTTTTAAACAATATTACAGTGTCCTTGGGAGGGAGAAGCTGGGGGGTGTCACATCGGGGCTGGCTCAGGTCTCAGGTAGGGGGGTGGTCCACCTAGAGGTGACCGTAAGGGAGAATTGAGGCTCTTTTCCATGATGAAGTCAGAGGAGGAAGAAAAACCAGAAATTTGTTTAAGCAAAACCCCTGGGTGAGGGTGGGGGTTGAGGGCAGAGAGGCATCCACAGCTCACTATCCTCCCAGGCTCACGCAGCTGCAGAGGACAGACCTTCCACACAGGCCCCTGACTGGCTGGGTGGCCTCAGGCAGGTGACTTCACTTCTCTGAGCTCCAGGTGCTTCGTCTGCAAAATCGAGATAATAATCAAATTCCACCTCACTGGGCTGTCCGAGGTAAACTGGTCCTCCCACCCCCACCAGAAAGTAGAGTGTTCTTATGAAACATTTCCTAAGCTGAAACAGTGTAAAGCAAAGAGACAATTACCTTACCTTTTTGTGCTAACAGACGCACAAAATAAATCACGACGAAGCACAGACGTTCACAGGCCCTTGCAGACACAGGTCAAAGCTATGGCAGCTTGATGCTGGGGTGCTGAGCGTAGCCCCCGTGGAAGGAGCTCGGTGAGGACACTCTCACTGCTCAGGGTACGTGTGCCTCTATTGGGGCTCGCCACAAAGCAAAGGCTGACAGCTACTTTGCCCTTTTTTTTTTCCATAAAAGTGAAAATCCACTATCTTTCCATTAACAAAAACTGGTACTAACATAGGTCTTTCCTAAGAGCGCAGTGGCGTAAACTTTCAAAAAGCGAGGATACCTATTCATGCGAACAACTTGGCATGATGCCTGGTGCTTAGTACGTGCTCAGTAAATAGTGATGCTTGCTGCTGCTGTGTTCTGGCTCAAGGACAGGGTTCCACTCTGCAGGCTCAGACGGAGGCAGTAAAGGGCACTGTGCTGGGAGTCAGAAGACCTGGTCTAATTCCAGGGGAGTGCTGAGCTGAAAAAACAAACAAAAACCTTTCCTTAGGCTTACGGGCCTTTGTTTCACCATCTGTACAAGGAGTGGGTTGGTTCTCTGAGGGTCTTCCAACCTCAGGATGCTATGGATCTTGGACACCACTGTGCTCCTACCCTAGGTGGGCTGGAGGGTCAGCGGGGCTAGGTTGAGGACCCTTCAGGTAATCTGGGCATTTAGAAAGGCCAGTGGGGTTAAGAGACCCAGTGTCTGAACCCAGCCCTGTGCCTTTGTGACCTTGGCCAAGTCCCAGAACCTCTCTGTGCTCCTTTTCATCATCCAGCAAATGGAACCAATTTGCCTCATCCTTCCCCACACCCAGGGCTCAGGAAAGAGCAGGCTGGGGAGCAGGGGGCAGGAGGACCCCTCCAGGGGTATCTGAGGGGTAAGAGGCACATCTAGTCTCTACCCTGGGAGAGGACAGCACGGGGTTGGGGGGAACCACGGAGCAGCTGAGCTAGCTCCCCTAGACCTCAGGACTCCCTGGCTCTGCACGCTCCCTCATCAGGGAAATAGATCCTGCTTTGCCTGCAAAGTCCCCCATTTCTCAGCCACCACCCACGTCCTGGACACCATCTTCCTCACTCACAGAGTCCTGCCCGGCTTCTGTGCTGCTCTCTGCCCCCTCGACCCTCCTCTGGCTCCTTCTCCACACACCAGCCACAGCCACCTCCCCACTCCCACCCCATAGTGACTCCCCACACCCTCCCCCAGCCTGGCTCACTGGGCCTCGCTACACCCCTCTCCAGACTCATCTCCTACCCCCACATCTCATGCCCCCATCACTGAACCCCAAACTCGTCTTTCCATCTTTCGGTTCTAGGGGACCAACCTTGTGTCCCCTTGGGCCTCAACACTGTCCCTCTGCCCACAGTGCCCTTCCCCACTCCCAGAGCCTTGGTTTACATGTCACCTCCTCTGGCGAGACCTTCATATCTCCTGCCTTGGTGTCAAATCTCTGGATTCCTGGCCCTCACCAAGATATAATTTCACCTTTATTTGTGATTATTTGATTCACTTCTGCTTCTCCCCTTCCCAATCTGTAAGCACCCTGGCGCAGGGCCTCACCCTGCACTGAACACAGGGCCAGCACAAAGGAGGAGTGTTAACACATACTTGTCAAGTGAATGAACTCACAGGACAATTGAATACCTATACCTGTTCCCAACCTTGAAGCCTTCCATCCAGGTCTGATTTAGCATATTCTTGGAATCAAAGGGAACCTTGAGAGCACTGACCTTCCTGCTCCATCCCCCACTCCCCCTACCCCCCAACATAGGCATTCTTTCCACAGCATCCCTGACCTGAGGGGTCAGGTCACCCCCCCACTTCCAGCAGTCACTTACATACCTCCTGTGATGGTGAGCTCACTCTCTGTTTCTTGACAACCCATTTCCTGGTGGATGGCCCTTTAGAGAGCCCTTTGTTATGGGGGCAAAACCTATATCTGTGCCCCCAGGTTGCTTGCTTTCTCAGGTCCCAGGCCTGCCCTGTCCCACTCCTCAAGCTCAGACCTTCAAGTCCCCCCCAGGTCTCCTCCTCCTTCCCCCGAGCGGTCCCAGTGACGTCAGGTCAGAGAGTGGAGCCCAGTCCTCCGTCCTCTGTACCTTTTCCAGTGCCTCGCTGACCCCTTGAAAGACTCTTCCATGACCTCTGAGTTAAATCTCACCATCACGTCCACTTCCCGACACGGGAAAGGGGGCCTTTCCTGCAGAGGCCACCGAGTGCTCATCCGCGTCGGCCGCAACCCGGGCAGCCCCTCCCGTTCCCAAGAGCAGCCTGCACTTCACTGCATGAACTTGAGCACAGCCTCTTTCCTGTTTGGGTCACGGGTCTCCACCTGCGCAGAGGGGAGACTTCCTCTGAGTGGGGAGCCAAGTCTTGGGCCCCCTGTCCCTGCTCTGTAGCTGTCAGGGCCCCAGAAGAGCAAAACTGGGCTGGGGCCAGCTTCATGGGTGGGTCACCTGCGCAGTCACACGGGAAGGGTCCCGCATCTGGTTGAATACTCTGCTGTCACCATCTTGAAAGCCTCAGTCATCCTTGAATGAGGGATCTCACTTCGTCACCTGGGTCCTGACACACCTGGTCTGGAGCTGGTGCTGCCCTGCCCGGGGCCAGTGACTCAAGGGAGAGGCAGATTGAACAGACAAGACCCTCTCTGATCCTGTCCACCTCTGGGGAGTGGAGAGGGGGACACATGTCCCCACACATTTATTTGGGGGGTCCCAGGAAATATCAGAGGATCAAACCCCATAGGGCTTTCTGAGCAGTTCACTGGCAGTGAGCCTCCTGTGGGGAGGGAGCCCTTCTTGCCCAGACTTTCTGACCCAGAGCCCCGTCCTTCACGGATTCTTCCCCAAACCCTTCACCCTGGCCCCCCACTCCCAGTTCACCCAGGGCCCCTCCACTGTTCCCCCTAAACCCCCGCTCCAATTGGGTAGCTGTGAAATGTCTCCTCTCTTTAACTGGGGGTGAGTGCTCGACAATACCCAGGAATCTGTGTTCGTTTTGTCAGATGCGATAACGGCCTGTTATATAAGAAAATGTCCACGTGTCTTAGACATGCATGCTGAAGTCTGTGGGGGTAAAATGACAGGATGTTTAAGATTTGTTTTAAAATACTTTAGCAAAAAAAGAAGGGGAGGAGGCGAAGTAACTCTTGATAGCGGTTGAAGCTGGGTGATGGGCGTATGCACAATCATACTTTCGTGTGTGTTGGAGACCTCTCTTTAAAACGAAGGGGGCAGGGGATCGCCCAGAGGATCGTGAGAAGTTCCTTCGAGTGTTGCTCCAAGGCGCCCCTGCACCACCTCGTTAAGAACTCGTGTATGTGCATATGTGCATTTTCCCAGCGAAAACATCCACAGCTTTCATAGGATGCTCAGGAGGGTCGTGACCCCTGCCCCCCAAAGATTAAGAACACCGCCACCCCACAGACAGGAACGGTGTTTGAAGTCAAGTTGCCCCCTTGCCTCAAGCTGGTCACTGCCGAGTGTGCCACAGGCCTGGTGCGGCTGTGTGATGCTGGCCTAGGGTCCCCAGGCAGCCCCTGATCCCTTCTCTCCCCGGAGAGAAGGAGGCGTTCGGCCCCTAGGCCGCCAGCGTCTCAGGACACTCCCACACCTAACGTGCCTCGACGCTGGCCCAGGATGTGCCCCCGAGTCCCCACCCCTCCAGGCCGCTGCCGTCCACCTCCCGCTTGGGGTGGCAATTTGTCTCCTTTTGAACCCCCCGCCCCCGACGGGTTTCCCCCTTTGATTCGCGGCCGGGAGGCTCCCCCCTGCTTTGAAATGCAAACCCGCCCCGGCTGGGGCCGCGGGCGTCCCGGGGCTATAAAAGGCCTGGGTGGGGCGGCCCGGCGGCGGGGCTGGCGAGTTCAGGTGAGCAGTTGCTCGTTGGGGCGGCCCGCGGCGGCGGCTCCAGGGCCCAGCATGCGCGGGGGTCCCTGCAGCCACCATGTACGTGGGCTATGTACTGGACAAGGACTCTCCGGTGTACCCCGGCCCCGCCAGGCCCCCCAGTCTCGGTCTGGGCCCGCAAGCCTACGGGCCGCCGCCCCCGCCCCCCGGACCCCCGCAGTACCCCGACTTTACTGGCTACTCTCACGTGGAGCCGGCCCCCGCGCCCCCTGCGGCCTGGAGCGCGCCCTTCTCTTCGTCCAAGGACGACTGGGCCGCCGCCTATGGCCCGGGCCCTGCGGCCCCGGCTGCCAGCCCAGTCCCGCTGGCGTTCGGGCCCCCTCCGGACTTTAGCCCGGTGCCCGCGCCCCCTGGGCCTGGCCCGGGCCTCCTGGCGCAGCCCCTCGGCAGCCCTGGCGCACCGTCCTCACCCGGAGCGCAAAGGCGGACTCCCTACGAGTGGATGCGGCGCAGCGTGGCGGCGGGAGGCGGCGGTGGCAGCGGTAAGGACCCTTCCCTGGCCCCGCGCCTCCCGACGGTTCCCCTGGGTACTGGCAGGTGCTAGGGCGAGGGCTCGGCCGCCCCCTGTCTGACCTCTGCCCTGGCCATGCTTGGATTCCTGGAGTGCGGCCTCCTCTACCACTCTAGCCCTGGGGGGCTGTTGTCCCAGCTTCCCTTCTGCATTCCGGCCTGAGTAAGCACAGCCGGTCTTTCTGTCTAGACAGGGAAACTGAGCCCGGGGAAGTGAAGTGACGCGCCCTGCGTTAGGTGGCAAGGCTGCCGCAGCCAGAACGCTGTCCCCAGACTTTGGTCCTAGGGCTCTTTTAGAGACACCTCACCGGCCCTGGTCATCGTGGTTTCTTCCACCCCTATCCCAACCCCGGGCAGAGGCTGCAACACCCCCCCACCCCAGACCAGGGTGCCTGGTTGAAAGAACGCAGTCAGCTCACTTTCCTTTATGGGTCCCGGTTCCCCAACCCGCACAGCAAAGAGATGGGTGGGTTATGTCATTTGGACCAAAAAAAAAAAAAGCCCTCTTTGGTTAGAGCAGGTGGGGGGCTCCTTACCTTCCCATCCCAGGGCCTTTCCTGAACTCTTGACCCTGGGGGAGGGGGGAGCGGGAGCAGTTGGGAAGGTGGCTGCTGTTTGGCTCCTGAGCCTGTGAACCTCCTGCCCCCAGGCAGGCCTCTCTGATCCACCCTCTTCAAAGGCAGGGGAAGGGGGCCGGACAAAGGCCCCGCTTTCAAGAGGGGCGGCCTGACCTCCTTTATAGGTCCCCCCTTTGTCATGTAACAGGCTGCGCCTGGGCTCGGTAGTGACTCCTGTTGGCCGGGAAGTGAACACGATGCCCCATTGTCCTGGCTGTGTCGGGCCTGTCCTGACAAAGGCCACCTGGCTGGGTGGGCGGGAAGTTGGCCTGCCCACCCTTTGATGTCCAGCCCCTCCTCCCCTCCCCCCAGCCGGGACTGAGCTTGGGACTTCCCCACCTCCTCTCTCTTCACCCCCCTGTCTCCACACACGCCCAGCTCACCCCAGGGCAGATGCTGCGGTGGGCTTGATCAGTAGCTACAGGTCTGGCTCTGGCTGTAATCGGACCACCTTCTTGAGAGCCCCAGGGACGAAGGACCTGGCATCTGCCTCCGGAGGTCCCAGAGGATGGGACATGTGACCCAGCTCTGCCCCTTGTCCCTGTAACCTTCGCTAAACTATGATACTGACTCACAGACCCAGCCCTGACCTAAGATTTTGCGTCTGTTAATTCATTTAATTCTTACAGCATCATAGTGGGAACTGTTATCACCCCCAGTGTTAAGAAGAAGAAAGGATGGTACAGAGAAGTTAAATGCTTGCACAAAACAAGTATTTATAACCAGTAGATGGAGAAGCCGGGGCTGGAACCCTGGCAGATGGACCACCAAGCCTGGGGGCTAGTTCTCTAACTAGCTTCTCTTCAATCAGTCATCTTTTCTGGGTCTCAGTCTTACCATCTGTGACGTGAGAGAGAAGGGTCTCATAACATGTTCGAGTTACAAAAGGACCCCTTTGAAAAATCTGATGGAAAGTACAAATCTCCCTAGAAAAGAGTGTTACCTAACTCGGCAGGCAATCTCAGGAATGCTAGAGGCCCCAGAAGCGTTATCCCTAGACCCCAGCGGAGAACCCGCATTGGGTTCCGTGGGGGAAGGTGTCTGGGGCCAGGGGCCCTCAGGGTCCTGCAGCTCTGCACTCCCTGGAGAAGGAAGCCTGACTTTCCTGCTCCTCTACTCCAGCCGTTACTTCCTACTGATCAGGTGACACTGGAGACCCATGGGGTGGTTCCCCAGGGGCGGGGCTCTGAGAGAGGCCATCACTGCGTGAGGTGGAGAGAGTAGGTCAGTGGGGGTCAGAGGCCTGGGGAGGCCTGGGGGTGCTTCCAGGCCCGTGTGATGTCAGACGAATCGCCTGGTCTTTCTGGGCACGGGAGCTGCCAGCCCAGCTCAGCCTCCGGTCTCAAAAGTCATTTGGACGCTGCTGTTCCCAGGCAGACAAAGGGCCTAGGAGTAACTCTGGCCAGAGGCAGAAAGCCTTTCTGCCTTGACTCCCAGAGAGTAGAAGGAAGGGCGAAGGGAGGTGTGGGGGCTCCCGAGGAAAGCGGCAGTCCCCAGGAGTCAGGGTGGACCCGTCCTGCCAAGGAGGCTGGAGGCCGGGCCTTCCGATAGCTAGAAGCTTCTGCCTGTCTGCCTGGAGGCATCTCATTCTGACCAGAGTTCCTGAGATGGGGGCAGCATTGGCGGCGGGGGGGGGGTTTACAGGCCCTCTGAGAGAGTCGGGGGCAGCTACTTCTGACCAGAGCCCCCCCTCCAGCTCCCTGGTCCCCACATCTTATGATGCCATTTTTGGCCAGCCCATTTTCCCTCCCTTCTGAGGCTCTAGCATTCTACAATATCTGAGCTGGACAGTTAGAGACCAGGCTCACAGATGGGGAGCTGAAGACCAGAGACTGGAAGGAATGTTCTAGTTTCACGTAAGTGGAATCTGGACTAGAATAGATGTTGGATGAGTCAGTTAAAATTTTCCAAAGGGTTTCCATCATTTTTACGGGAAAATCTACACTCCTCCCTAAGATTGCAGAGCAGCAGCGCTTGGCCCTTGCCTGCCTCCCTGACCTCAGCCCGGACCACTGTCCCCTCGGCCACCAGGCTCAGGCCACTCCAGCCCTCTTTGAGTGTGCCAGACGTGCCACGACCTTCTGTGGGTCTTGTGCGTGTGTCATTCCCTCTTCCCGGAAACCTCTTTTGCCTGACTCTTTGCGGGCCTATCTCCTTCTCACCCTTCAGGTCTCAGCTTAATGCTCACCTCCTCAGAGATGTCCTCCATGATTTCTCAAGGAAGGCCTCCCCTTTAGCCACTGATAATCTTTGCCATGTTTCCTTTAGAGCACTAACCCCGATTTTGATTTACTCACTTATTGGTGTGTTTGTGTGTGGTCTGTTCCCCTACCCACCCACCAAGGTAAACACCTGTGCCAGAGCCACGTCTGTTTGACCTGTTACTGCATTCTAGGCACCCAGCTCGGTGTATGGCATTTTGCAGGTGCGCAATATATTTTGTTGACTGAATAAACAAGGCGAGTGTGAGCAACAGTAGGATGACTCTGGGGGCAGAGGGGAGAGAGGAGACCTTGGCTTTGGCCCAGAGTTCTGAGGTCCCAGCCCTGGAGACAGACCTGTGACTGTCTAGCTGAGCTCTCCTGCCAACAGTGGGAGCCTGGTGGCTGCCCCTCCCCACCGGGACAGTGAGGCACCATCCCTCCTGGGACATGGGCATAGCGAAGGCTGGGACTAGGACCCCGTCTTCGTTCCTCGGAGGGGCAGTGCACATGGGGACAGTAAGGGAGAGGCTCTGGGCCTCCGCCCCGCAATCAAACATGAAACAGTTCCGAGTGTTTACTGTCACTTGACTGAGGCCAGGGTAGAAAATGACGACAGGGATTCTATTTTTTTTTTTGCCTTCCCCCTTTGTTTCTATAAAGACCAGTGTTTTCATAAAGAGGGCTCTAACTCATCTTCTGTCAAAGGTTCAGCAGCCATTCCTTGCGAATAAACAGGGCTTCACAGGTTGACGGCCCACGAGGGCGGCTGAGGTCCCGCACCTCCAGGGAGGTGTTCACTCAGGTGATGAGACGGCCGCGGCAGGGTTCAGGTCTCGGTCCAGCCCCTTCAGCTTTTAGATGGAGAAACTGAGGCCGATGGAGGACTGCACCGCACCCCCTTCCCTGCCACATTCCAGGCTCTCCCTCGCTCCACTGCCACAGCCACCGACCTGGCCTCTCACCTTCAGCCTCTCTGATGCCCCAGCTACCTTCTACCCCATGAACAGATTCACCGATTCAAGGCACACTCCTGCTCAAGAGCACTTCATGGCTCCCCACCACCACGGGGCTGCCATTTTACTTTATGCCGTTTTACTGCCGTGAAATCCAGCCCCATTTCTGTGGCATTCAGAGCCCTCTTGAGAAGTGGCCCCCGACCCACTATTGAAGCCACTCTCCCACTAGTTCGCCTAGATACAGAGATGCTTGCTAGCAATAGTTACAATCTAGACCTTAACTAGGATGGTATTTCTGTTAGAAGCTGGCTTCGCATCAGGAAAGTGAATTTGGATCATTCCTCTGAGCCTCAGCTTCTTCCACTGTGACATTCGGGTGACAGTAGGAGTGCACCTTCAAGCCGTGGTACTCAGGGCCCTGGGCCTGGCCCCGTAGGTGCCCAGGGCATCGGTCCCTGTGCCATCTCTTCTAGCCCTTAGCAGGTGCACTTCAGCACACACCTCACACACCCTGCCTCTCCAGCACCTCACCTAACTCCTCTCCCTTTCCTCCTCTGCATCTTTCATCAGTTCAAATGCTGCTCTTTTTCAAGGCCACCTCCTCCAGCAAGCCCTCCTTGGTTCCTCCCCTCCCAGCATTCTATTAGGCCCTCAAATTAACAACACTTAACCACTGACTGTCATCTACCACCCATTATCCCCTCGGGGACCAGTCTCAGCCAATCCCGCCCTTCTCATCATTCCTTGCCCATAGGGGCTCACGGTATAGCTGGTGACTGTCCTTACCGTGTGCAGGCACTGCAGCCTTTGCATGGGTGATCTCACCTAAGCCTCATAACAACCCTAAAAGGGTGAGGATCTATTATTAGCCCAATTTTACCGATCAAGTTAACGAGGCTCAGAGAAGGTCAGGTAGCTTGACAAGCTCACACAGCTTGGATGCAGCCGCACAGGCTTCAGCCCAGAAGCCACGGGCCTGTGGAGCGTCTGTCAGATAAAGCAACACCCTGGCATAGGAGCCCAGGCCCCCCTTCCCAAGTGCGTCCCAGCCCAGGTGGGGGAAAAGGAGGCCAGTCAGGGAAGAGCTATAAAAGGCTGGAGGGGGAGGGTGGGCACAGCAGGGGCCAGGCTGTTTAAAACTGGTTCTCCAGGCAGAAGCTCCATGTGACACCTCATCGCTCAGATGTAGCTGGGA